TTGGTAAGGGTACACATGCTAATTTATTCGGTGAACAAGTAAATATAGTTAGAAATCCCAGAGTGGCCCTCCTTAATGAGGCGGTCACCGATATCCCTAAACATACTCAGAGCCTCATCTACTTCATGTTCCTTGTGGCAAAAATTGCTATAGCGGCACCTAGAAAAAACAGTAGTTGACTTGGTGGTTATGAAACGTAAGCTGACTTGGATCATGTTAAATGAAAAGCTGGTCAATATACTGAAAGACAAGTTAGCCCAGTTTGACCGGGTCTGGAACCCTTGGCTTAGATACCTCCAATCTTGAGGAGTGCAGGTCGAGATGGTGGGCTCTCCGATGGACTGCTTGGGGGCTTCCCCTCTCCTCTACTTCTTCCTTTCTTCTTCAGGTTTCTATGGCTTCCATACTTGCTGTTCGGTATGGAGTGTTTGGAAATGACTGCTCCTGCACACAAACAAAATTGATGCCTGTGTATTTAGTAAGAACAGTGATCACTGACTGATTGCACTGAAAAATGATACACCTGAGGAGCTGGGTGCGATCCATCTCCTGGAAGGGGAAGGCAGCTGCAGGGTGTGTGATAATTATGTCATCTGGTAAAGTCCTTCCTATGTTTTCAATCCCAAGGTCTGTCCAGGAAGTAATGGAGAAGTTTTTTTGATACAACAAGCTAGACACTGAGGTAAGGGCTGTGTAGGATAAATATAAATCTTTTTCTTTTCTGCAAAAGAAGTACATTAATGGTATATTCATAGACAGGAGAGCTAGGATCTAGAAAAAAAAATGTGAACTTATTTTTTAAGAACAGTGGTGGATTGAGAGTATGCTGGTGGGTACCAGGCTGTTTTTAATTTATGGGACTTTTCCCCAGATTTATAGCAGCACACATACTGCACATTTGTGAGCGGTAACGCGTACCACAATATATATATCTTTTTTCTGAGTTCTGTACATTAGAGGCAGCATCTAGTAATACTGTTTTCTTCTACATGTTTAAATTTAAAGTGATATTAAAGTTTTTTTGTTTTTTTTATTAATAACAAACATGTCATACTTAGCTGCTCTGTGTAATGGTTTTTGCGCAGAGCAGCCCTGATCCTCTTCTACTTGGGTCCCCCATCGTTGCTCCTGGCTCATGGCTCCCACTGCTGTCTCAGCCAATAAGGAGAGGGAGACCCGGGACAGCCGAGGCTCCCGTGCCTCGATCACTGGATCGAGAAGGGACGTAAGCGAGTATTAGGTGGCTATGGGAGAAGCATCACACAGAAGGTCTTTTTTCATCTTCATGCATCTAAATAAAAACCTTGAGCCTTTACAACCACTTTAACAATGGCAACTATTGTGCAATGCAGCAACTCAGCAACAAATTCAGGAACACAGCAAAAATCTATATTCTGTATAAACCTCAACAACATATTTAGTGCCCCTTGTATAACAAATCACTTAAAACATAGAAAAACAGAGGGTATAGGAGTGTGTATATTGTCCTGCTCCAAATTAAATGCTGGGTAGCCAATTAGATGCTCCACTGGTAAGTAGCTGCAGAGAGGGGAGCTAGGGCTAGATCTTCAACATTATACAGTATTAATGGAGTGAACCAGGCATGGGCAGTGCTAGACTTCCAAAACATCTGAAGCACCCTTGACCATCTTCACAGAAGATCAGCTGTAACTATAGACACACATACACTTTTAAGAAGGATATTTATTGTCACTTGTGTAGTGTCACTTATGTGTCACTATTGACTGTAGTTATGATGGCATTTTCATATGTCCTGATGAGCCTTACATTAAATCATGCTTTAGATCAGCATTTTAAAACTTTTTTGCAAACAGTAGGTCGGACAAGAAATGCTCGAAATATTATTCAGAACTCAGGAAACTGCTAAATATTATTGTATCTATGTATAGGTCATGATACATTAGATGAGATCAGTAATTTGTTGATATAAATATAATAAAACAATAATGAATGTGCTATATGAATGAAATGAATAATAATGTTTTGCAGAAAAGAAAAGCATTTAGTGAAAATTTAAATGCCCCTTACTTTAGTGCTTTGTAGGGATGAGGTCTGAGTTCAGGTCAAATGTGGGATTGACCTGAACCGTGCCTGTTCACATTGAACAAATTGTCCCAAATTTGTCTGCTGTAATGTAAAGAAACAACCATTAGCTCTTAGTGGACTGTCTGTAACTGCCAAATGTTCTCTAATCACCCCAAGCTAAAGAATTTAACATTAAAAAAAAAGCAAAATACACCAATTAATAGCAACAGAAAAAAAGTAGCTGTATTGATATATGCTATAAATCAGTTGATGCAGACATACATTGGTACTTGAAAGGATGTTTGTCTGTACAGATTTGTGCAGACAAGCAGGGCATACAGTATAAGAAAATGTACCCCAACACTGTAACTTAAAGAACTCAAGTTTAGTTAGCTAAAGTGAATACAATTTATAAACCCAACCAACAAAATCTCATATAAGATTTAACATGATATTGTTACTTGGAAAGCCTATTTTTATTTTAAAGGCTAACTTTTCTACAAATAACAGCTGGTGATATTAATATAAAAGTCCTTGCTTGGACACTTTTTTTATGGCATGGCAATGCTCTGCTCCTGTCTGGTACAATTTTCTGCCTGTAAATTGCTGGAAAAGTAAACACTGCTGTGCTGATGCACATTGCACAGGCATATATCACTGTTGTAATTTAAAAAAAAGGCCTGTGAAAAAAACTATTTCAGCTAGTATCAATTTGGAAACATGCCCTGTTAAAAAACACATGCAGACTGTTATCACTGTAGTGCATGTGGACAGGGACAGGCTGTAAATGGGCTACAGGACATCCTTTGTTAAGATGTAACAAAGGATGAAAAAGGTAAAAACTCTTGCCTCCCTCGACCCCCAAAGTTTCTGAGATACAGAGCATTTTGCTACCTACACTACATTCAGTGAGGGTCAATAATCTTATAATGCCTAGAAACCCTACACTCATCTCTCTCTCATTGCAATTTGTAAGCAGCACTCCTTATACTTTCCATATCATGGCTAAAGCTCATTATCAGTAAGGTACCTGTGATCTCACCCTTTTATAGTAAGGGGGGGTCTGGCTTATCCAAAAGCCCCCTTTTTGGTCTGTCTAAACCAGCTGACCCACATTTAAAGCCAAGGCAGTGCATTATGGTTACTATGTCAAATATCCTCATTATTTCACAAGGTCCGACAACCTCAAACATGCAAGAATTGCTGCAAACTTATGGTGGTGGCAAACCCATACCTCACCCCTAAGACTGACTACATTGCAGTTATAATAGATGAAGCTTTAATCGGGCTTTAAATAATTAGCTTGAGTTTACATCTGGAGTTAAATTGCATTTTCTAGTAATACATCTTCAAGCCTCCATTTGTATCCATAGAAAAACCATGCATGTATTTAGTGCAGTATGTATACTAAGGATCCTGAACCCGCCCAGCTGTGTCAGTTCTATTGTTATCAGAGCATTGAATATTATTGCAGGTTTTGAACATTCTACTTCTGCTGATTTACAAGGATGAAATACCTACACGTATGCAAAGAGACACATTTGTTCAGCCGATCTCATTTGAGAGGCTAGCTCATTTTCATTCACATGTGAGCACATCCTCATACTCCTCAATAAATCTTTTTACACCCATGACTAATTCAGCTGTTTTCATGTGCACAACACAATACGGATCAAAACGCAGACTGAGGGTCCTGCTTTGTCTGTGCAAGCAATTTCTGGGGTAAAAATATAAAAGGAGGTTTTTACTACTTGGTTGGGAATGAAAAGAAAATCTTGGGATCCTGACAAATTACCATATTCATCTTTATTCCCTGTAGATTGAGATTTCAGTGTAGCTCAGCTGGCAAAAGAGAATAGGAAGGCATTATTCCTCCATTGGCCGAGCTGACCAGATATAAATAAATTGAATCATAAGACAATGGGACAAGGTTAGCTCAATGATTTAGTGAACGCAAAAATTGAATTATCCTTTTAGCCTGTCAAATGACCACCCGGTCACATCTCTTTCTTTTTGTTTGCTGTGCTAACGATATCTATACATTTGGAGGATTAAATAAGTGTAATAGGGTGCCCTTAAGCTATGTTAAATGGTATTTGTCTTTTGAGAGATCCTATTTTACTTCAAAATCACTTAACAGTTTCAAATGATTGCAATTGATAATGATGTTGGTATTCACGGGGTCATGGTCTTAATCAATTTAGTTACACATGTCTGAAAGTACGGACTTTTGCAATATTAATGCATTTATGCCATAATGTACGTCATTTTGATGCTTGGACTGTACATAATGTTCCTGTTTTTCTAATAGTACCAAAGAATCAAGTTCTAGGTAAGCACATGCAAACTGATACATCTTTTAGTTCCTACAATATATAAACCTTAATCATTAATGTCTCTGAGCAATTACACCTATATCTAATGGCTATTGGAACGTTCCCTATTAACTGACCCTGAGATTTTATGTAAGGAGCTTTTTGAAATGCCTCGCAAACTGACTTTAGTAGCATTTTGATGGACAAAACTAAACCTGAACCTTAATCTTTGTTGTCCCTGAACAAAGAACATCTATAACTAATGGTTATAGAAATTTTCCCTATAAGTTGACCCTGAGATTCTTTATGGGGAAACTATTTAACTGTGCCCCTCAAATGACTTTGGTAGCAATTGCTTTACAATCTTGACTTAGTAACAACTTTTTATATACTTAGTGGTTTCCTGTATTTTCTGGATTCAAAGTTTCTAAAAAAGGAATCCTAACCTTGTACAGTATCTTGATTCCTGGGCAGTGTAAAAGATATTCTAACTGTAGTATACTAGTGTGAAAAATTTGTATATATAAACAAAAAAATACACTAAACTGCCAAAAGTATTGGGACACCCCTCCAAATCATTGGATTTGTGTGTTTCAATCACCTCCATAGCCACAGGTATATAAAATCAAGCATCTAGGCATGCAGACTGCTTCTACAAACATTTGTGAAACAATAGGTCGCTCTCAGGAAATCAGCATAGTACCGCGATAGATTTACACTTGTACAATAAGCCTATCCGTGAAACTTCCTTGCTACTAAATATTCCACGGTCAACTGTTAGTGGTATTATAACAAAGTGGGAGCAACTGGGAACAACAGCAACTCAGCCGGGAAGTGGTAGGCCGCGTAAAATGACAAAGCGGGGTCAGTGCATGCTGAAGCACACAGTGTGCAGAAGTCACCAACTGTCTGCAGACTCAATAGCTAAAGACCTCTAAACTTCATGTAGCCTTCAAATTATCACAACAGAAGTGCATAGAGAGCTTCATGGAATGGGTTTCCATGGCCGAGCAGCTGCATCCAAGCCTTACATCACAAAGCGTCGGATGCAGTGGTGTAAAGTACGCCGCCATTGGACTTTAGAGCAGTGGAGACGTGTTCTCTGGAGTGATGAATCACGCTTCTCTGTCTGGCAATCTGATGTACATGTCTGGGTTTGGCGGTTGCCAGGAGAACGCTACCTGCCTGACAGCATTGTGCCAAGTGTAAAGTTTGGTGGAGGGGGGATTATGGTGTGGGGCTGTTTCTCAGCAGTTGGGCTTGACCCCTTAGTTCCAATCAAGGGAACTCTTAAGTTGCGTGAGCATACCAAGACATTTTGGACAATTTCATGCTCCCAACTTTGTGGGAACAGTTTGGGGATGGCCCCTTCCTGTTCCAAAATGACTGCACACCAGTGCACAAAGCAAGGTCCATAAAGACATGGAGTTTGGGGTGGAGGAACTTGATTAGTCCGACCTCAACCTGATAGAATACCATTGGAATGAATTAGAGCACAGACTGTGAGCCAGGCCTCCTCATCTGACATCAGTGCCTGACCTCACAAATGTGCTTCTGGAAGAATGGTCAAACATTCCCATAGACACACTCCTAAACCTTGTGGACAGCCTTCCCAGAAGAGTTAAAGCTGGTATAGCTGTAAAGGGTGGACCAACTCAATATTGAACCCTAGGGGCTAAGACTGGGAGGGATGCCATTAAAGTTAATGTGTGTGTAAAACCAGGCATGCAATAAGGAGTTTAATCCCATACACTTAATTGGAAGTATACAGTAATGATAATTAGGATTAGCGCACCATGAGATACAATTCATGCACATTTAGTGTACATCAAATTGTTTAGTCAGCCAAATTAGTTTTCATAACATACGGGTGATAAAAAGAGTAATATATCAGATAATAATACCACAGAATTAAAAGATATACAAATAATGAAGAGTCAAGAGTACAAGTAATTATACCAAAATCAGCATAAAGGGTAAAGTAAGATCTCACAATGCCGTATTTTGGGAGGACCCCTTCATCAGGAGAGACCTCTATTATTGCCTTTAATAATATTAACTTTTGGCCACAGTATGGTTGGTTGAATGAAGAAAAGGTCTGTTTGAGAAAAATTAAAAGTCAGCAGCTACAAATACTGTAGCTGCTGACTTTTAGTAAAAGGACACTCACTTGTCCAAAGGATCCAGTGATGTCCTCACCCAGGCCAGTTGTTCACTGGTTTTTGGGTCCCCAGCACTGGCATGTTTACTGTGGGAAGCTGGCTGCGATTCCTTGCAGCAAGCCATGCTCCCATTCCCATGCTTCCCATCCCATGCAACAAATCTAGCTAGGTTCTGTAGAGGTCCACCGCTCTATAGCTCACCTGCTCCTGCACCGCCATCTTCTTCTGATGTCATCAGGAGCCAGATGTCTCTTCTTGGTTCTTGTCGCCATCCACCTGATCACATGCTGTGATGTGCCTTGAGGTCTCCTGAGATACTTACATCACGCATCCCAGCAGTTATGTAAATCTTGCCTAGATGAGCATCTAGCAAGAGAAACGATGTGTTACCTTAAAGAAAAATAAATTCCAAATACCATAGAGGAGGGGGAGTGAAATGCCATAATGTGGGTGGAGAGTGTGGAGTTGGGGAATGGGTTTTAATAAGAATTCTTCACCTATGCAATATTTTTGTATGTGAATAGAAAGATTTGATTAGTAAATTATTGTTATTGGCAAAATAAGTAACAAAAAATTCTTAAAGCCAATGGCCGGCGTCTTTACATGCAGCGCATACTACACCATTGTAAGCATAAATATTAGTGTCCCTTTAAGAACTAGATCTGACTTCATTTTGTGTGCTCAGCTGTTATTTTTTCTCCCTTGACCTGATGTCTTTTCAGGGCTCAGTCAGGGGAGTAATATAGTTATCAGTAGCCCATTCTTCTTCCTCTATGGCAATCTTCATGGCCTCATCGCTCACAGTAATCCATGTGAAATCTCTGAACGCAGATCCGTATTCTGTCCTAACTGTGTCATTTTGCTTATTTATTCTACCAGCACAGCAGACTGTGGTGGAAGCTAAAGATGCCTCTAGAACAGGTTAGCAACACACTGGCACTGAATAGGCTAACTGCACAAACAGTCATTTGGGGCTCCCAGAGTTAAAGAACAGGTACATCTAAAAAACTAAAATGTAACCTGATAATATATAAAGAAAAAAATCAACATATTTTAAACAGTACGTCGTGCATCTTCACGTCAGTCACCTATATTCCCCTTTATAGAATGGGAAAGAAAGGGGCAACACAATAAGAAAATGAGAACTATTCTAGATGTGATTTGCCTTTACATTGACCACATGCCACAATAATAATGCAGTTTCAGGAACAGAAGCAAACAGTTGTCCTTTCTGCTAAAAAAACAAGTGTAGAGCACAGTGGCGGACTGACCATTTGGGAACTCGGGCACTGCCCGAGGGCCCAGGGTCAGTAGAGGGCCCCATGAGAAGCCCCTGATACCTTTCATAGGCTTTTTTGGGTGCGGTTTGAGTGTGGGCGAGGACACAGGGGCCCCATGATACCCTATTGCCCGGGGGCTCCATGAGTTGCCAGTCTGCCCTGGTAGAGCATAGTGTAGAGAATTGGTCTCCAAAGATGCTGCCCTTTGCTTGCCTTTATCCACGCTTGGGGACACTATTAATTCCACTGATTTGAGGCACTAAACCTCCCACTGACACCAGTAAGGGGACTCTATTCCTCCCATTGATACCAATGCTGGGGTCCCCCAACTGATACCAATCCTGTGGCATTATTCCTCCCACTGATACCAATGCTGTGGCACTATTCCTCCCACATACAGTTGTGACCAAAATTATTCAACCCCCACTGAAATTGAGTGTTTTGGCCAGTTTGACATTGCTTTTGATCATTCAGTCATCTTGCTTACATTTACATTAAAGAGGCACTTGTAGGTCAGACAAATATAACATAACAGTTATAATGAAATAACCACAAATGTCTTTTCTGTGCTCACAGCATTATCAGTTTTATTCAACCCCCAGTGACATTCAATCTTAGTACTTAGTACAGCATCCTTTTACAGTTATAACAGCTTTTAAACGTGAAGCATAGCTTGACACAAGTGTCTTGCAGCGATCTACGGGTATCTTCGCCCATTCTTCATGGGCAAAGGCCTCCAGTTCAGTCACATTCTTAGGCTTGCGCACTGCAACTGCTTTCTTTAAGTCCCACCAGAGGTTCTCAATCGGATTTAAGTCTGGTGACTGCGATGGCCACTCCAAAATGTTCCAGCCTTTCCTCTGCAACCATGCTCTAGTGGACTTGGAGGTATGCTTGGGATCATTGTCCTGTTGAAAGGTCCAACGTCTCCCAAGCCTCAGGTGTGTGACGGACTGCATCACGTTTCCATCCAATATCTCCTGGTACTGAAGAGAATTCATGGTACCTTGCACACGCTGAAGCTTCCCTGTACCTGCAGAAGCAAAACAGCCCCAAAGCATGATTGACCCTCCACCATGCTTCACAGTAGGCAAGGTGTTCTTTTCATCATAGGCCTTGTTCCTTCCTCCTCCAAACATAGCGTTGATCCATGGGCCCAAACAGTTCTAATTTTGTTTCATCAGTCCACAGAACACTATCCCACAACTTTTGTGGTTTGTCCACATGGCTTTTGGCATACTGCAGTCGACTCTTCTTATTCTTTGGAGACAGCAAGGGGGTACGCCTGGGAGTTCTGCACGGAGGCCTTCATTACGCAGTGTGCGTCTTATTGTCTGGGCTGAAACTTCTGTACCCACATCTGACAAATCTTTTCTCAGTTCCTCAGCAGTCACACGGGGACTTCTCTCCACTCTACGCTTAATAGCGCACAGCAGTCGAAGTCAGCATCTTCTTTCTGCCACGACCAGGTAGCGTTTCAACAGTGCCCTTTGCCTTGAATTTGCGAATGATGCTTCCTAAGGTGTCTCTTGGTATGTTTAACATCTTTGCAATCTTCTTATAGCCATTGCCCTTCCTGTGAAGAGAAATCACCTCTTCTCTTGTCTTCCTGGACCATTCTCTTGCCTTCACCATGTTTGTAACCACACCAGTAAATGTCTAGAAGGAGCTGAGTATCCACAGTCATTTTAAAGCTGCCTAATTGGTGCTTATTATGCTTGATTGCTGCTCGGTGACATCCACAGGTGTTTTCAATACCTGATGGAAAGCACCTGTATGAACCTCTGTTCTTCAGAGTGGTAGTCTTTAAGGGGTTGAATAATTGTGGCAATGAAGAAACCACATAAGAACCATTTACTACTGTATTACATAAACAATTGATGTCATTTAGTTGCATTTGGGTAGTTACAACGTCCTTGTAGGATTTGATTCTGAATACAATTCCAAATGTACACTATAGTCCCTAAACCCCTTTACAGCATTGGGGGTTGAATAATTTTGGTCACAACTGTATACAGTACCTATGAAAGGGCACTATTCTTCCTCCTACTGACCACTGGCTCTATGTAATTTTCTTACCCCAAGCTTGAGATAGTTTATTTCCACTGTTGGTGGGAGTGAGACATTTTCTACTCATACTGGCCAACATTTGGCCCCCTTAAAGTCTTAAGGACAGTAAACTGGCCCCTTGTTTAAAATGTTTGTATACCCCTGGTGCTATGATATAAGTGGACACAGAGGCAACATAGCATCCCCTGAATCTAGCCATCCTAGCTTCTGCTTGATATTCTGTAGAAATGTATGGACAACAAGTGAAATATGCTCTTCTGAATTTTCTGTTCATCTTTGGCTCCTCATTCCTACTGCACTTGATTAATGTCATTTACTGCAAGGGCCCATAAAAAAAATGAATTTATTTGCTCTGTTCACACTACAATGCTGTGCTTAGGTGGGATACAATGCCTTGTAGAAAAATGCAGATATGCTGAATTTTTTGCAATGCATAGGAGCTCACTAGAAGTCACCGTCCGTGCATAGGAATGCATAAAGCATCACTTTGACATTTCAGTAACATTTAAAACTAAAAAAGGTAACATGGTAAACAGTGTCTTGCCTTGTAAAAGAGGCAAGGCACCCCCCC